ATACCCTTCTAGTCACTTTTAATGGCTTATGTTTGTGAGTGCAATATTATTCTTTTATTTGATTTGTTGTGATTGTTGTATTTTTGCATGTTTTTATGTGATTAAAGTTTGAGAAGACTTACTTCCCACTTGGGTCATTGTGATACCTACTCACAGGTTTTGAAGATCCATAATAGTAAACGTAAGCTGGTTTATTCTCGACCTCTTCATTTTATTGGTGTTTTCAATCATTTTGTATACAAATTTTAGATTCCAGTACACCACACTATTTTTTGCTGTTTTCATTTTTTGTATATCACGGTTTTCGGAATTAACCGGTTTGTGGGTATAATTGGAGTAAACACTATCATTCTGTGTTGTATTCTGGTCATTTTAACCATGCAACTAAAAATATTACTGTAGCGGACCACGGGTAACCCAACTGGTTACCTCCGCTAATTCCCTTCCTTCAGCCGGTCAGGAACCATGTAAAGTACAAGTATACCCATTTTCCCCCAGTAACCGGACAACAAACAGTCCTGGAAGTACAACACAATTTTATTGGCCACATTTATGCATAACCCTGTGCAAGGGGTTTACTACACAAACATACACGGACACATCCCAAGATCCTCACCCCCCCCTGGGGTCCCGCCACTAAATCCCCAGGGTTCCCCACACCAAACGCCAGGGGTCTTTTTCCCAAGAGCCTCTGTGCCTGGGAGTCTAGGAGTGGGAAAAAGGTACCGTCCCTTTGTCTCCCATGCACGGAAAAGCCCACCTGCAGGAAAAGAGCTGGTCTCTTTGTCCCTAAGGCTCGGGAGAGCCCGCCAAACTTGCCAGTGCTACAAAAGTGCCCACACCAATCTCAGGGCCCCTCCCTTGGTCCCTTGATCGACTAGACAAGGGAAGTATCTCCTATTGGGGTATGAATGTTCCCCCTTGTTGGCGTTCATCTGTATAAATGGCGGCCACCAAGGAGAGCACTCGTTAATTGTTTCCCTTGCGGTTTGTGGTTTTGATACTTATGTTGCGAGGTGTGAACGTTCTAACCTAACATTCTAAATGAGGTATTGGGGTTGTCCCCGTTCAGTAGGTAAATTAATTCTCTTCATGGAAGACCTCCTGAACGGGGAGCGGGCACAATAAACGAACATACTGGGGAAACACATGTAACAAGAGAGGGAACCCTAACTAACAGGCAGCGGTACCGCCACAATTACCATTTTGCATGAACTGCAATGTTTTTATTGTGGGTTAGCACACCTCTAACGGCTGTCAGAAAGACAGCCACTAAAGTTGTTTCTATAACTGTAAGCAACTTTAAAGTTGGTTATATCTTAAATGACTCTCTTTGAGAGCATTTGATTGGTTTAACACTGCATTATGCCATGCATACGCACTAGCCTCCCGGTGCTTTTCCATGAGGACGAATTAGGTTGGCTGAGATTATCAACAATGATGATCTTAGCCATAGAGGTGGAGCGCCAGCACTGAGACCAGCGTTCCACCTGATATAAGGTAAGTAAAACTTATGTTTAAACCCCTACAAGGGAGGTTAGACACCTAAAGAGGTAGGGAAACACTATAGCATTAGGAATACATTTTTTTTTATTCCTAACACTATAGTGGTTATTTAAACTTTTTCAGGGACATAACAGAACAGTGACTGCCAATGTCACCTCATGTACAAATTAAGTTCTGCCATTGCGGTTTTGAGTTAACCCCCATTTATTCTAGTCTGAGCTGGGTAGGGCTGCGAGTAGACATATGCAATTCATTTTGTTCCGAATGTAAAGTCGGATTAATTTCGGCAATTCGGAAATGCCGAAATTTGAATTTTGGAAGTGCCGAATTGAATTGCCGAAGTGCTTTGGATTTCTGAAAAGTGACAAAAAAAAGAGAGGAAGGGAAAATTAATGTTAGGGGTAAGGGTTAGGGAGCCCTACAGATGTGTAAGTGGTTGTGGTATCTAAGTGCTTCAGATTTCTGAAAAGTGGCAATACAAGAGAGGGATGCTTACAAATGGCCGAATTGCTGAGTGCCACAGTGCTGAGCCGAACCGAATTGCCGAAGTGCCACATTTTTTTACTTATCCAAATTTCCGAACTGAACCAAACCAAATTTTTTGCTAATGCACATCCCTAGCTGCTAGTGCTTTTCCCTGAAAACACTGCATTTTTTATTTGTTTGTTTTTTACATTTTGGAGGGACCCAACTGAAGAAAGTAACTGCTACCGTTTTCCCTTGGCTAACATTCAAAGGCTGTGCTGCTGTTGCTGTTCTGAGTGAACCCCCCTTTCTTCTAGACTGACAATTCTTTCCATGGGCTCAAGTCCAATTCATATAATTTTATCTGGATGTGAATGTGTGTGGATGGAATTGCATATACACATATTGCATAGCATTTCTTAATATAGCAATATTTTATGTTTTTTTTATAGTTGACTGAAAGTCGGTCAGTGATCAAAAATGTAAACTAAATTCTGCCGAAAAAAATATCTTTATGACTGAATGTCAGGCAAGACGAAAATAAAATAAAATTACTCACTGAATGCCCGAAAAGTCTTGAAATATTTTTTTTGTGCACATCTCTATTACATATTCACTTACTGTGCATTTGCATCTTTTCCCCTACCTCTTGATAGTATAGATGGCCAAGTTTTTCCTGGAAAGTTTTACTGAATCGAGAAATATACAGGAAACTTTTGCTGCAATGATCTACCATGCGTTTGCCTTAATAATGCATTATTGATATGTTTTCCAATACATTGTATTGTTTTGAATAAGACAATAGGATCGAACAGGTGTGGGGGTTACAATGCCGAGCCCCAAGTGTCAAACAATACAATAACATAAAAAAATAAAAATAAAGATAGATTGAAAGACAGGTAGACAGGCACATAGATAGACTGAAGAATGGACAGGCAGGCATACAGATAGAAAGAGGAATGGACAGACAGACAGACAGACAGACATACAAATAGATAGATAGATAGATAGATAGATAGATGTAATTTTTGAATGCAACTGTGTTTCCAGACTATCAATGCTTTCTTTGTTTACTCAATTTACATATAACAAAAATAATTGTCTAAACTTCAGGCAGCTTATGTCTAGAATTAACAAACCTATACATTTTGGCATTTTTCACTTTTGCCTAAAACTATCAAAAATTATTATTCCGTAGTGCTTTACAATATTATCAAAGAGGGAGATTTAACAATAAATGAGAAAATTACAAAAACTTACATGAACAATAGTTTGAAGAGGGTCCTGCTCAAACGAGCTTACAGTCTATAGGAGATGGGGCGTAAAACACAACAGGACAGGAGGTAGCGATCAAACAAGGTAGAGTGAAGCAGAGCTGGAGGAGAGAATAAAGTGCTGCCCTTTAGGAGAGAGCAAGGGACAGGTATGTGAGGTAGAGGTTACTCTGGGAGGCCTTAAGATTTCCTAAAGAGATGGTTTTTTATGCACTTTTTAAATGATTAAAGACTAAGGAAGAGCTTGATGGTCGTAGGCAGGCTATTCCATAGGAAGGGAGCCACCTGTGAGAAGTCCTGCAAGGGAGAGATGGCTATATGGGTGTGAGCAGCAGACAGGAGAAGGTCATGGGCAGAGCAGAGAGACCGAGAAGGGGCATACCTGCGTATCAGTGAAGAAATATAGGAGGGGCTAGAATTGGTCAGTGCTTTATAGGTGTGGATTAGTACCTTGAATTGATTCCTATAAGATACAGGAAGCCAATGTAAGGACTGACAGAGGGGTGAGGTGTGAGAGGAGCGACAGCAGAGGAAAACTCAGTCTGGCGGCAGCATTCATTACAGACTTTAGCGGGGCAATATGACTTGTGGGAAGACCTATTAGGAGAGAGTTACAATAATCCATGCAAGAGATTACTAGAGCATTGACAAGCTCCTTTCACTTTTGCCTAAAATTATCAAAAAGTATTATTATTCCGTAATGCTTTACAATTTTATCAAAGAGGGAGATTTAACAGTAAATGAGAGAATTACAAAAACTTACTTTCTTGCGTAAGAAAGGCGCGGATGCGGGTTATGTTTTTAATGTAGAATCTACAGAATTTGGTAACAGACTGGATGTGAGTCCTAAATGTGAGGCCAGAATCAAATATAATGCCAAGACAGTGAGCTTGCAAGGATGGACTGATGTGGATACCACTCACTTGAAGGGAGAGCAAAAGAGGAGGAAGAGTACTAGGAGGAGGAAAGACAAGGAGTTCAGTTTTAGAGAGATTGAGTTTCAGAAAGCGGGATGACATCCAGTCAGAGATGGAAGAAAGGCAAGCAGTGACACGTTGCAGGACGGCAGGGGAGAGGTCCGGAGAGGAGAGATATATCTGGGTGTCATCAGCGTACAGGTGGTATTGGAATCCAAATGAGGTAATAAGTTTGCTAAGAGAGGCAGTGTAAAGAGAAAATAGAAGAGGACCAAGGACAGAGCCTTGGGGTACTCCAACAGAGACAGGACGAAGGGAGGAGGTATCATTAGAAAAGGAGACACTGAATGAGCGTTGGGAGAGATAATAGGAAAACCACGAGAGGACAGAGTCACATAGACCGAGTGATTGAAGAGAATATTCCCTGACTATAATACACTTTGTGTGAAGGGTTTAAATTCTATGTAATGCACTTTGCTTTCGGAGGTGTATTCAATATTCTAAAACTGAACAGGTATATAATTATTTACATTATCTTCTGGAATGTCTGCAATTACACTGAGAAAGAGAGATAAAGTGCTATAGTGAGTTATAAAGATAATGGAGAACAGTCACCTAGACAACAGTCACAAACAGAGGGTGCCTATCTTATCTGCTTTGTAGCTGAATTGAAAAACATAATTGCTACTGTGGAATCCACACTATCATTTTTAATTCCATTTAAAGTTTGTTTTCTTTATGTATTGGTTTACATCTATACCCTCCAAACGATTCCTTGAATGTTCTTTCTGTTCATTAATCACGTATTTGTTTGCAAAAAAAGGAGAACCAGTAAATTGCCATAAATAAATATTTTTATGAATTTGTCATACAGAGGGTATCATTTGTTTCCAGTTGTTCAATGCATCAGTCATTTTCTATTTGTTTCTATTAAAATAAATACTCCTAATACATTTAGAGCAAAAATATATTTTATAAATAAATGCTATTAATATTACAGCTGTTCACCCATGATATCAATATTTATAATATTTCAAGTAACGCAGACACATATCAAGTAAAACACATAAATTGAATGATTATTTGTTATTACAAGAATTAGGTCACAAAAAAGTTACAAATTCTGCAACAACAAAAAACACGAAAGGTACAAATATCCTTTTGATTTTGAAGATCTTTGAAAAACTGATGATTATATTCACGATATTACATACAATTGTCACATTTTGTTGCAATTTGTACTTTTGTTATACTTTTTACGTGTGTACCATTTCTGGGTTTTTTTACACTTGAGGAAGTGGTTCATTTTGTTTAAACCCATATTTTATTTTCTTCCTTTTTTTAGCAATGTGACTAATTATGTCAACCACGATATTGTATAATATCATACAGTCAAGGTTTGAAACCAGGCAATTTGATCATTTGCTAAAGATTTTCAAAGCAACATGTGGATTAGAACAAAATAAAGTAAATTAGTTGAATTCTAAAATTCCCCAGCTTAACTGCGTTACGTTTTAAGTTAATTAAAATGTAGTCAAATAGGGAAAGAGTGTTGGCATTTTATACCTTTGCCTAAAAATATCAATGATTCCTGAATATAGTACACTTTGCTTGAAGGATTAAAATAATATGTAATGCAATTTGCCTTTAAAAAATGTGCATTCAATGTCCTAAAATTCAGTTATATCATTCTTTACATGACATTATGTAATGTCTACAATTACACTGAGAGAGTGGAAACACTGGAAGATAAATAGCTATAGTGAATTGTAAAGACAATATGGACCAGTGAGTCAGACAAGGCCATCTGGATCAACTATTTAAAATGAAAAAGCTGCACTAATTAATACAATATTATGTGTTGTAAATAGTAGATCATTCAAAACCCATTGCTTGTTTTGGTTTCTTTTTAAATACAATGTAAGTAATGAGTTGTAATATGTAGCCTAAAAGAGATGTGATGGATATATTTTTATTCAATTTTCAAAATAAATATCATTAAAACTCAATGTTTAGTGAATTACATACCTTTAATGAATGCACATTGGACAAACCTAACCTAAGACAGTGGTCCCCAACCCAGTCATCACTGGCCACCAGCAGTCCAGGTTTTGTCAGTATCTCCATTTAAATAAAAAATTAAAATACATAAATCCTGGACTGATGGTGGTCCATGAGGACTGGGTTAAGGGACCGCTGACCTAGGGCATGGGTGGGCAAAATGTATATGGAGAAATGTAGAACTTTGCAGTTGTAGTTCTACAAGATCTGGGGATCTACTTTTTTGCCCATGCCAAATTGAGTGTGTCAGAGTTCACATTCAGATTATAATTTATAACTATGCCGATTGATCCTTGAAAGACATCAAATTTCTATGTATTATTGCCAATAGATTAATATATTTTTTTAAATAAATAAAATATTGATTTTGCATTAACATTATTTCAAAACCTAGTGAAGAATAAATTAACTATATCTTAAAATAGCGAGTGCACTTCAAAATAAATATACATATATATAAATTAAAATTCCTACCAATAGATTTGCAAATTTCAAGTATTCAGGTACACAGACATAAATTAATCTAGTTTTGCTTCCTGAAGGAATAAGGGCATCTTCTGGACCTTACATGGTTTCAATCCTGGAGTCAGAAACACTAGCCCTCTATTGGTCTTTAATTATTGTTCTCGGTTTTCTTCTTCCTGAAACAAAGCATGAAAGGGATTGTTAGTGTATGCCATGATTACTTTCTATTTATTGTGAAACCTTCAATTCTAAATATATAGGCTTTTAATGTATCAATATGTATGCTTTTAATTCGAGGTGAAGAGATTAGTAGATTTTATTTGTATTTGAATTTTTAGGATTCTGGTCAACAGATAAACACACAATCCAGATATTTACTAGGTGTGTTGTGTATGGTAATAAACAGATGTACTAAAGAGAAATGAATCTCTTACTTGCTTTCTGGAAAATAGAAAATGCAATAAAAAACAAAATTAAGTAAGACAAAACTGTAACACCACAACTGTTTACATACAATCCCCAAAGGTCTATTACGTGGGGTTGTAGAAGATAATTGTAGTCCAACAACATTTGGGCATAGTTTAACATCTGTATGTATAATCCCATATCTTGACATCTGCATGGACAATCTCTGATGATAAATGCATTATGTAGTGGTGAGAGAAATGAACACAAGTTGTCTGGGTAGAATGTAGAAAATGAGTATCAGATGATTAATGGACAAGGGCAAGCTGCACCCCAAAGGTTCGATTAGTGAGATTTTCTATTCACTGCTATAAGGAATGGGCTGGTGCATAAGGTTTCAAGTGAATCCTGATTTGTCTGCATTTTGGGCAATTGGCGATTCATCTGAATTCCTGTAACTTCAAATTTCCATTTGACTGAATCGCAAAACAAGTAAAATGAGGAGCGACCAAGCCACTTCATTTGTCTCAAAAAGATGATTGATAGTTGGGGGTTAAGTCACTTCTTTTTGATTTTAGTCACAGATCAAGTGACCAATAGAGTGAAAAAAGTAGGAGCAGTAAAAAAAAAAAAACAACCCCCCCCCCAACAATTTTCATACAATATATATAAAATATATATATTTTTACTCCTCCTACTTTTTTCCTCTACTGGTTACTTCTTCTCATTTCATCAGTGAACTAAATGGTGCAAAAACGCGCTGATTATATACAGACTAGATGGGCCGAATGGTTCTTCTCTGCCGTCACATTCTATGTTTCTATACCTAATATTTATATTGACGTGATTGTTTTCAGGTTTGCACATTGTCAAACCACGATTGAACTTACATAATTTCTTTGATCTTCTGAGAAACCCATGGAATATTAGGTCTGGAACACAAAATTTTCCCACTCTGTGTGATAAACCTGAATTCAACACAAAACAAATAATTAAATTTATATTGGATTTTCAGGATTAGAGTCATTTTAAGTTCTATAACCATCATTATGAGGAATAATAAAAGAAGCGATCTTTGACTATTCCTTGTATTATATAATTCATAAAAATCACTGTCTGTCTGTCTGTCTACACATATCATACATATAATTTATTTACCAAAATATTTCAGTCTCACACCAACCGCTACACATCCCATCCCCTCTACCTTCTGCTACTCCCTAATTCTCTACAACAAAAAAAACATGTTTGTGGATTCTCAACTTCCATTGCATTCCTTCTTTCACCAGATGCATACCTAACCCCCTTAATTCCCCCACCAAACATCTCCAAAGTTTTGCTAAAAGTAGCAAATATGTAGTAAAAATTAGTATGAAGCCATTTTTGATACGGCAATGAGTCTATGTCTCTGAATACTTACAGCACAGCTTCAACGCAGGGAAGATCTTCCTTCTGAATTAAAAAATCTTCAATGGGAACTTTAGACTTGGCGGAAGAAACTCTAGTACAACAGCTGGTAATCTTCCCGACATCTGTGGTGGTAAGGCAACAGAAAAATTGTTACCGAGAAAGCAGGGAAAAACAAAGTCAATACAGTACATTGTGGACTAATTATATACGGCTCTGTGCTCACATGTTCTAACCTCTAGGGACAAACAAAAAACATATAAAGATAACTCTAAGGTAACCAGAAGGATATGTAGAACTCCACGATAAGGTTCATATGGAATTGTACTACTAGGTATCCAAGAACAATTTTTTTGTTTTTGTTTTTAGTTTTTAGTGTAATTTAGCTCTGTACATTTTACTGAGTAGATAAAAGATTGTACCAATAGTTTATCCTTAACAAGTAGGATTTCATAATACATCCGTAAGCTTGGTTATTTGGTACATTTCACTTCTCATTATTACCCAGTTAATTTAATATTTGTGCTTTCATTTTTCACTGCCTACTTCTGCTATAATTTAACTGAAAAAATGTGTGGATTATAATGACACATAAATGTACGGAACCACGCATGATATTTAAGCTACCATAGTCTATAGCATAAGATAAATAATATTAAGCATATCTTATCCTTGTAACTGCCCTTATACTGGAAAACACTACCCTTTATACGCATATATACGAATATACGTATACGGCATATACGAATATGGAAAAAGGCATGCAAGTTTGCCATCTTTGTCTAATAGCTGGACTCTACTTACCACAGTTGGCAGTCAGGATTGCAGAAGCAATGAGTAGAGCCATGCACAGCATTGTCTTTCCTGAGAACATGTTTCTTGGTTTTGCCTTTCCCTGTCTCTGTTAGATCAGTGTTCTTGTCTCCAGGAGCAATGCAGTGAAGTACCCAGACGGAACCATCTGCTTTTGAAGATCCAGAAGAGGAACTTGGTATGGAGAAGGAAATGACTATCAGTTTCCGTGATCGTCAGCATTACACCTGCAGGTGAATCGAAAATAAGTCAGGAAAGCATACCCATGTGTATGATGACATCCATTCATGACAACAGCAAAATATCTATCTATCTATGCATCTATCTATTATAAATCTACGCTTCTATTATCTATCTATGTATTTATCTATGCATCTATCTATTATATATCTATTCATCTATGTCTTTATCTAACTATGCATCTATTTATCTATCTATATATGCATCTATCTATTATATATATATTCATCTATGCTTCTATTATCCATCCATCTTTCCATTCATCCATCTCTCCATCCACCCTTCTGTCCATCAATCCACCCAATCCCTTTATGAAATGTTTTACATTATTGGAAAATATTGTTCTGTTTATATCATATCATTAATTTATTTTAATTTAAATATATGTATTCATTATCCCTTCCTCTTTCATAATGCATATTGCATATTTGTGTACTGATGTATTTATGTCAATTTTTTTCATGATAATTGCATTATTTATTCATTGGTAAATTGTGATGAGATGATAATTGATTGGGAAAAGTTATATAAGAATTGCTAAATTGGACAAAAGCTCTATGTCTGCAATCTACAGGGTGTATAAAACTGTTAGTGAGAGTATTTCACTAAACCCTGAACTCATCTTCAAGTATTTGGCAATAGTTCTAGATTTTACCTTGATTTTACCAAGTATTTGTTAAATGCAATTCAGATGTGCATTCAACCTGCTCTCTGGAAAATGCATGTCTGATTCAAAGTGATACAGGTTCTGCATTGAAATAAATACACTATCCACACAGAGCTACTTTCAGATTATATAAGAAATACATTTATATTGAAGCACCTTCAGAAATTTTAATTCTCCAACAGAAGTGACATGTGCCAGTCACTCTTTTTGTGTGCCAGGAGACCCCAATTCCCATTACTTGAAATAATGCCCTTCCTCCCCTGATTGTCCATTATTATGTTATTATTTATATAGCGCCATCAAATTCCGCAGCGCTTTACAATGGGTGGACGAACAGACATGTAGTTGTAACCAGACAAGTTGGACACACAAGAACAGAGGGGTTGAGGGCCCTGCTCAATGAGCTTACATGCTAGAGGGAGTGGGGTAAAATGACACAAAAAGGTAAGGATAGTATTAGACTAGTGACAGTTGCAAGAGAGGAATCATAATGTCATAATCATAAATGTGACATGATGTTTTTTCCCCTTAATAGCAAATAATTAAGATGCTAAATCCAGCATTGTATAATTATGGCCAAGTGTTCTGTCCATTAAATTAGCATCCTTAAATTAAAATACTCCCTAAAAAGAATTTCAAATGCTTGTTTCCTAAATATATGTATCTATAGGCGTTGTTGAAGATTTCATAAAGTCTCACAAAGGGCCAGGGGTTGCTTACATGAGATAAATTCGGCACAGTCAAATTCCTGTGTAAAATATCAAGCATCACCATCTTGAAATACTACTAGCTGCTATGTCATTTTTCTAAAAATAAGAAAAAAATATAAACTCACATAAAAAAAGAACATTGCCAGGCCAATGGCTGGAAATGATCTTGGAGCTGTAATATGGTGGATTTAATTCCCTACATCATAGCCACAATCCCAATATGATTGATTTAGACCATCTCCCAGGCACACATATAGGTGGGTAGCACATATTTTAGGTTATAGAAATAGTGGACAAGTCCACTTCTTTCAATACATAAAACCCCAGCCCACATCACAATGGATGGAAGACCAGGTGGCAGTCTGAGTTTCCATCCAACTTGGTAGTGGACACTAGATCGGGGTAGGCAACCTTTAGCACTACAGTCGTTGTTGAATACATCTCCTATAATACTCATGTAGCCTTAATTCTGGCAAAGCATCAGTGGAGTCTTCCACAACATCTGGAATTAGTGTCTACCCCTGCTCTAGATCTTTTTTATTTAATCATTCAACTGCCACACATTTGTGTGATGGAGAAGCAGCCACCTAAAAGGACATCAAATCCCCTCTTTTATTTTTTTATTTATTCATTTTGTCTCATCCTTCAGCTGCACAAATCTCTTGATACCAAGGGGGCACACATAAACAGGATACAATGGTTTCTTTACCTATGGATCAAATGTATCAATTGCTGGTCAATTTCTGGTTCTTGCCCAACGCGTGTTCAGCAAATCAATGTAATTGAATCATATTGTATATGAACCATATTGTATATTGTATGTATATCAGTCTGGCGTAGTTTATTGAAATTAAAAAAAGGAAACAGAAACTTTCAAACCCAATACCATACTGTTCCATTTCTGTCTCAGAACACTGTGTTCTAAACTGTCAATTGAACAGCACAGATTGTGTAGGTCAAGCAGGCTAACTTGAATGATGTGCACAATCTGTAAGACTCTTTGGAAAGTTTGATGGGGACATATGACATCACTGGAAGGGGAAATGGAGCCACAGGGCAAAGATTAAGAAGAAAAGAATGAAAATAGCTCGAATTTGAAAGGTAAGTGTCCATGAACAGCTTCCTAGCACCATAATTACTAAAATAAACCATTAACATATATTAAAGGAACACTATAGTCACCTAAACAACCTTAGCTTAATGAAGCAGTTTTTGTGTGTAGATGCTTCTTCTCAGGTTTCACTGCTCAATTCACTGTCATTTTAGGAGTTAAATCACTTTGTTTCTGGTTATGCAGCCCTAGCCACACCTCCCCTGGCTATGATTGACAGAGCCTGCATGAAAAAAAACAACTGGTTTCACTTTCAAACAGATGTAATTTACCTTTCTCTGTAAGTTAAACTTTAATCACATACAGGAGGCTCTTGCGGGGTCTAGCAAGCTATCAACATAGCAGGGGATAAGAAAATCTTAATTAAACAGAACTTGCAATAAAGAAAGGATACACTATAGATGACTCTTTAAAGGAAGTGTTTAAGAAGGCTATGCAAGTCACATGCATGGAGGTGTGACTAGGGTTCATAAACAAAGGGATTTAACTCCTAAATGGCAGAGGATTGAGCAGTGAGGCTGCAGGGGCATGTTCTATACACCAAAACTGCTTCATTAAGCTAAAGTTGTTCAGGTGACTATAGTGTCCCTTTAATTTATATATAGAATCTGTTTTCTGGATCTGGATACGTTTTTATATTGCTAGAAATATTAGTGTATGGTTCCACACAATATATACTAGTAATAATCTATCTTCCTGCATTAATTGTCTAAATGCCTTAGATCACGTTTTACCCATATAAACCATTATATGATACTCAGTGAATTTCTCATTTTTCAGCACTGCCGGGGTTAAAAAAAAGCAATGACTCTTTGGCTAAAATCATTTATTTCCCATAGGAAAGCATTGGGAGCCTACTGTTCTAGAATAATGCACTGTGCCAATCAGCTGGTCTCTTTGAGATCATCTGATTAAAATAGCAAAATTTTTCTCATCTATTTCATGGAAGTGTCTTTAGTGGCTGTGAGTATGACAGCCTCTAAAGGCAGGTTAACCCTGCAATGAAAACATTGCCTTTACCCAGTGGTGTAGCTACCATGGTCAGACGGGTTGCAGCTGTAACCAGGCCCATCATTCCAGGGGGCACAGCTGCCCTGTCAACCTCAACGACTGGGGCACGCAGCCACCAGGTGACCGATAGGAGAGAAAGTGCACAGCACAATCTCACAATCCTGCTAGTCACTGAAAGAAAATAGAGAAGATCCTCTACCCGGCCTGACAGAAAGTGCTCACATGTGTCTCTTCTGTCAGAAACAGAAGATCCTCCACCCGTGTACTGCATCTCAGGCACGCCAAATTCAGATCAGCAGGCACAATACACATTAAAGGGCTGGGTGGAGAATGAGACACATGGAGGGGCTAGGGGGGATGAGACACATGGAGGACCTGGGAGGGAGAATGAGACACACGGAGGGGCTATGGGAGATGTGACACATGGAGGGGCTGGGAGGGAGAAAGACATATGGAGGGGATGGGGGGGAGAATGAGACATAGGTAGGGGGGATGAGACACATGGAGGAGCTGGGAGGGAGAATGAGACATATGTAGGGGAAAGGGGAGGAGAATGAGACATATGCAGGGACTGGGGGGGAATGAGACACATGGAGGGGCTGGGGGGGAATGAGACACATGGAGGGGCTGGTGGGGATAAGGCACATGGAGGAGCTGGGGGGGTGGGGAATGAGACACATGGAGGGGCTGGGGGAGGAGGAATGAGACACATGGGTGGGCCCAGAACAATTTTCGCACTGGAGCCCGGTGTTTTCTAGTTACGCCCCTGCCTTTACCGCAGAAAAGCAATGTATTCAGTTGCTGGATTAAAGCTTGGGGTACATGGTACCCATATCACTCCATTGAGATCTAGTGGTGTTGATGCCTATTGCGCTACTTAAAATGTTTTAACATAAGTAAAACGTAACCCATCATGTTATAGATTTCCCTCTAATTTATTGAATAGGCTCATCCAGAAGTAAGTTTTTACAAAGGTATGGAACTCTATTTCTGGATCTTGCTCAATCTGTAATTGCCAATGATGTAATAGCTAATTTTGCAATATAAAGGAAAACAGATCATGTGCCTTCCACTTGCCCTCAGAAGAAAGCAAAATTCAATTAATCTGGTTTCTTGGAAAGTGTCTCATCTCTTCCCTTCTCTTATTTTAGTAGTGAGTTATTCCCTAATCTTTCAAATAACACAGCTCATTCAGTAGCAACCCCTGTCAAAGCTTGATCTGTTGGTATGATTAATCATTTTTATATCACATTTATCATTTATAGAGCAATTTTCTGTTGAAAGTGACTCATGTTTTTTTGTCAACTGTTCAAAAACTGTTACCAAAATATGAGAGTTGACATGCATATTCCTTGCACCATAATCACTAAAATAAA